GGCCAGGAGCCCGCCCCAGCCCCCTCGGCCGGCCGGGCCTAACCTGGCTCTCCCAACCTTCCCCGGCGGCCAGGACCCCGCCCCGTCCCCTCCCTGCAGCTTTTGCTGTCCTCTCTCCCTGTCCACCCCACTCACCCCCCCCCCAGCGGCTAGCTATATTCAATCTCTGGCCAGGGATATAGGAGGCAGCCGACCAAGGTCCATTTGGGGACCTAGAGTCCTCCTGCCCTCCCTTTTGGTGTCTCTGTCCCCTCCCAATTTACCCCCAGGGATCACGCTCAGCCCGAATTTGTAAAAGAGGACTTATTCCAGCCTGGAGGAGGAGGCGGTTTTGACCTTGTGTCAAGGCCCTGTCAGTGGGAACCAAGGTGCTCTCTGGAAAGGAGGAGTGAAGGACCCCCCCTGTAGGGCCTTGACCTTCAAAGGGCTTTATTCCACTCTGAGTGGCAAAACCAAAAGTGACCACCTCCTCACCTCCAAATGCATCGAGGAACAGAGAAATCTTCCCTTGGTTTCCACAGTGCCCAGGAATAGTTTTGACCTTTCAGGCCCAGGAGAGCCCCTAAACCTTGGCCCCATGCTTTTTGAGATTCTCAAGAAGGGGTGTGAGGCGTGTGCATGGATGGGGCGCGGTAGGGGTGGTGGAGTGAAGTCCTCCTTCCCGACCTCTAGAGTATCCAGCCTTCTGGCTTCCTCCCTGTGCCCTGCCTGGGAGGGAGAACTGGCGCCTGCCAGGGACACAAGGCCCCTCCAGGTCTTTGAGGCCACCCCCTCTGGGATCCTCAGGCTTGTCACTAGGAATAAATAGCCTTAATCTGGAAGGATGAGGGAGGGAGGAGGAGGCTTTGCTGCATCTCTGCAAAACAAGAGACAACAAACCAACCCTGGAAATAACCTCAGGGTCTAGAGTAGAGACTCAGGTGTCCACAGAGGCTCTCCCATCCCCCAGGCTGGGTCCAGCCAAGCTGTCAGAGCAGAGAAACATTCCTTCCTGGGCTCCTGAGTACCCTCCTCTCCCATCTCTGAATCACAAGCCTGCCTTCCTGGGTCCCAAGTCACCCTGGACACCAGGTTTCCTTTCAAAATTAAGAAACTGCTTGTTTATTGTTGTTGTTCCTGATGCCTAAACTGTAAGTGCCATGAGGGCAACGGCTGGGGCCTTCTGGTTCACCCCACACTCCCAGTACCTATTCCAATGTCTGGCATGTAATAACTATCTGATGAATGAACGAATGACTGACACTGCTTCTGTTTGGACCCCCACACCACCCCCTTTGATTGGACCATAGGCACATGCTATCTGGAGGCTAGGGAGGGAGCAGTCAACCCATGGGAGGGACTTTACTTTGGAGTTTGTCTTGCAGGTGTAGGAGACTCCTAGTCCCTGGGAGTGCAGGGAAGACTACCTGCTTGAAGGAGATGGCAAGAAAGGGTCTGCTCTGGAGTGAGGGGAAGGCAAAGGTTAGCAGCCTTCAGAAAGGGAGGGATTATGAGTGAGTAAGGAAGGTGCTGGATCAAAGGCAGAGTTGGTGGTGGGGGGGATCTCTGGTTTTACTCACAGCTTGAATCTCTGATGAGCAGCCTGAACAAGAGCCAGTATTTCCTGAGTACTTATTTTGCACCAGTCCCTATCTAAGCGCTTTGCATATATTAATGCACTCAATTATCCAACAACTTTGTGAAATATGTATTTTTATCCTCGTTTTAAGGATGAGAATATGGAAGCACAGAGACAGGAAGTAACCTGCCAAGGGTGACACAGCTAATAATAGCCTAGCCTGGATTCAAATCCAGACAATGAAATGTCAAAGCTCCTTATGCCAAAAAAAGAGCTTAATTGTTAGGCTCTGTAGCCTCTGTCATCATTTAACCTCTTGAAGCCTCAGTCCCTCATCTGTTAAAAGTGGTGGACTCCCTGTCTCACAGTGTTCTTGTGAGGATTGGATGAGAGCACACAGTGGGTATTCAATACGTGAGAAACTCCCCACCCCCCTCCCTTTCCTGGTCAAGTGTTAAGGTTTTGCTTCTTGGACTTGGAGTCCAGAGGCCAGGGAAAGTTAGTAGATTTCCCACTTGGCCCAGCCTGCAGGAGGGAGACTCGTGTAGGGCAGGGGCTGTGCCTTTCCTCTCTCCATTTCCAGCTCCCTAGTGGGCTCACATTTCCCTGCTTACTCTATTTCCGTTGACCCAGGTGGACGTGCCCCAGGGAGGTCTATGGATCGGCCTCATGGACTCCCTGTTCCTGTTCCCCTCATCAGTCCTCCCCCCTCTCCAGGGAACAGGTGTGTCTGAGCTGAGGCTGTAAGCAGAGCCTGAGCCCTGGACGACTGGCCTCGGGCGAGTGGGATCTGGTTGTCCCTTCACCCACCCAGGAGATCTCCACTCATCCTTCCTTACCTTGTGGTGGAAGGGGGCTTTCTCAGGGTCTCCCAGCTGTTCTTTTACCTTGAAAGCATTTTTCACAAAGAGGCCCTGGGTGACTGATGCCTGACAGGCCTCTCATACTTTCCTCCAGCTGCTGAATCACTCTCCGATGCTTGTAACCACAAGCCTTCCTCCCCTCAAGTGAGAAAACTTCCTTTCTTCTCTGGGTGTATTGCTCACTCTTACCCGTTGGGCTGCCTATGGCCCCTGCAGGCCTACTGACTTAGCAGACACCCTCTTTGCCCAGAACTTGCCCAGAAACATTTTCCTTCTGACCCCCACCCCCTAAGCCTGGCAATGGGTCTGGGTACATAGGTGAAATGAGTGACTTTTGCTGAGCATGGGGGATGAAGGGTGAAGGGGAAACTAACCTATGGTTAAATGCCAGCTACATGCAGGGTACCATGCTAAGTACTTGTTATTTCCTTCAGTTCTTGCAAAAGCCATATGAGGTGGTTATTATTATTATCACTATTTTACAGAGTAGTACACAGGGCTCAGAGAGTTTGACAACATGGCCCCAAATCACAAGCCAAAAGGTGGTGGATATGCTATTCAAATCTAGGGCTGACTCCAGTCTCTGCCCCCCTGACCCCCCCTCCTCCAGTGTGCAGAACTGCCTTCTCCTGGGTATGCCTGCCACTCAATGCCTTCTTCAGGGGAAGTGGCAGGAGTTACTGGGGCTGCCACCTGATCATTCTGCTTGAAGGCTGGGCTTCTTAATCAAGGTGAGGCTGGAAAAGTGGGCAGAGGCCAGATCATGAAGAGCCTTGCCTTTCAATGGTTAAATAACAAATGAAATGGAATTTTGTTGCATGTAGCCGTGGCCTTGCAAGGCTGACTCAGAGGCAGGGAAAAACTTTTTACACAGCAGAGCTCAGCTACAGCAGCTTTTACACACCCACTGGTCTACTGGATTCGCACCTCTAGGGACTGAGAAGCCAATTTCCTCAGAGCTCCTTAGCTGTAGGGGTGAGCCCTGTCATGAGAAATGGGTGCAATTACAGAACTCGCAGAAGGTTAGCTTCATGTGGTGGCAAAGAAACCAAATGCCTCTGGAATGCTCTGCTTTGCCCAATCTTCTTTCAAACCTTACAGATAGGTTTAGTAATATTAATAGTAACAGCAGTTCCAATTGATTGTGAACTCGCTAATGGGTGAGCACAACATTAAGGACTTTAAACATATTATTTCATTTAATCCTCACAACAATCCTTGTAGGTATGTATTATTACCTCCGCTTTACAGATGGGAGACTAAGGTTCAGTGAAAGCCAACTTTGTCTTGGCCGGTAACAGTTAGGATCAGAACACACCTCTGTGGTTTATGGTCCTAATCATTACATTGTGCTACCTCTGACGCTGATTCTGTCAGCCACACCTTGAGGGTGTGAGGGACTCAAAACTTTATAACTGCTGCCACGATATGACTCCTCCGTTCAAGTATGAGCCTCTTGACGGACCCATGAGGCAAGCAGTGCATGCTATTATTATCCTTGTTTTATAGATGACAAAAATGATGCTCATTAAAGTCAAGAGACATGTCAAAAGTCGCATAGCCAGTAAGTGACAGAACCAGACAGACGTAGTTTTAAGGAGTCTTGTGTCTCTGTAGAGCTCTCTTGCCCGTACACCGGAAAATTCACGGGGCTCCTACCTTTAAACGCAGCGCGTAAATACCACAAGTGGAATCTAGCCATAGGTGACTGCGCATGCGCACACTCCATACCCAGCTCAGCCCGAGGGCAGTGCCAGCCTCGTGTTCCCAGGTGCCAACGCGGAGCGGAGCGCGAAGTAGAGCTCTCGCTACACGTGGACACACCCTGGCGAATAAGAACCCGCTGTTGTAAGTCACGAGACTAGATCTAGAGAACTACACTTCCCAGAAGCAGCCTGCGGTGGACGCCGTTGTTCGATGACGTATTTCCGGAAAGACAGGCGCTGGATAGGTTGCGGAGAGGAAGTGGGCGGTTCTAAGCTGCTACTGGCTTGGCCTGTTTCCGGTAGGTTCAGTGGACGCGGCGTCTGAGGCAGTGAGGAACCGGCGTCGTCTACTGAGCTTTTGCCGGAGTGAACAGACATGGCGGCGGCTTTTCGGAAGGCGGCTAAGTCCCGGCAGCGGGAACATCGAGAGCGAAGCCAGGTAGGACCGCACAGGGCCAAGGAGGGCTGGCCGGTGGCTCCATGTGCTACTCTCACCCAAGCCCTCCCCCCAGCCATCTGCGGGTACTGGTCTTTTCCGTATGGAGATGCTACATGCAAATAGATGCAAATATATGCTAACGACGCCGGGGTGGCTGGGACGGAGCCTCGCGGTTCCGGGAGGAGGGAATTGTCATTCTGTAGGAAGAGCACGACTATCCCCATTCTTTGGGGATAATCAAAGCTATCTGGCAAGGTTTTAGTGACGTAGTTAAGTGAGGTTCTGTGTATAAAGTGCTTGACCTTCTCTGGGGAAGTTGAAGTCAAAGTTCACACTGCTGATAAGTGCCCCGGCTGGAACAGGAACCCACATCTAAAGATACCCAGCTCCGCTCGCTGCGTATGCGGGCTGAGCCCCAAGAGATTGGTGTTATTAATGTGATATCATCATTATGCCTGGGCTTTGTGG